TCCGTAAAATAATAAACACTGGTGTAAATCGGCATAGCTCTGCCAAAGTCAAGAGGCTGATTTACACCCACCGAGAATCTGGCCCAGCTTCCACACGGAGCAGCTGGGGACTCTGTTTCTATGGAACACGGGGCTTAGATGCTATGGTGGCATAAATTAAAGGCTTAGGCCCTGATTCAGCAAAGCACTTGAACATGTGCTTAAAAGAGCTCTGCTGAATTAGAGCGTTGGATACCATGGTGATGGGCACTCTAGGAACCCCCAGCTTCGACAGAACAGACATGGAACTCCACTTATCTTCCTCGGAACTGGGGTTCAATTGACCTTAATAGGATTGCATGTCGAATCAAGGCATTTCATGGCTGAAATCCTGGAGTCTCCCTTGTAGGAGAAAATAATGGGATTTGGGGTTACATTTAACAGAAGGGCAAACTCCAACATTACCCAAAAATAGAGTTATATGTTGTGTGGCCAGTCAAACTATTTAGGTTACGATGCACCTCCCCATAGAACACCGAGCATGCAGAAAAATGCATAATGAAAGAGACACTGGAAACAAATAAAATATTAATAAAGCATGTAAAATGCCTTTGAAACATCCAAATTAAGCATCTGACTGATCAGAACAGCATTTGGTTTAACTGCACTACCTTCTCCCTCACTCATCATCCCTGCATGAGTTTGTTTCCATACAGCTTAATAAGTAATGTCTCTCCAAGTTAGTCTTTTTATGTCCTTCTCCCACCGCTGTATTTTGGGTTATACCAGAGACATACATTTAAATGGCAGTAGTGGGTCTGCGGTCTGAAAGAGGAATAAACTGGGATACGTTTTCAATCTAGTTAGTTTCATGCTTGTACCTGTTAGAAGCCAAATGTGTTCACTGTTACTGAGATGACAGAAAGTCGATGGGAATACAAACGAGCAGTCTGTAGAAATCCTAAATGGACTCTTTTGAAGAATTCCCTTGGAAAATGGAATATATGCGTAAGCTGCAGCACTGTGCCTGACAGGAACAAAGAAATTCTTGCCCTTTTCAAGCATCTCAACCCCAGGGTGAGGCAGTAAATATTCATCCCCATTTTAAAGATGGGGAAACCGAGGCACGGAGCAGTTACATGACTTGCCCCCAAGGTGGCATGGCACTGCGCCTAGTTTAGAATCTAGGTCTCCCAGTTCTGTGCTCTAACTGGGAGGCCTCCCCTTACTAGCATCCAACACGGACTCCTCTAGTGTATTTTTACACAAGAGGCTGAAAGCAATCATAGCTCGAAGAGAATTTTCTGCTTACTGATGAGAGCAACCTAAAGTGAAGCTAACTACATCCGACTCCCAAATCATGCATAAAGTGATGCTTATGGAGTGCTCAAATCAGCACAGGATCCAGCTAATTTAAGAGTTGTCGTCCCTCCCACGGCTCCTTCTCGTGCCTCTATAATCAAAATCAGTCTGGATTTCAAGTGACCTTCTTGTATCCTCTGCGGACACAGTGTGCTTTGTTCTCTTGCATTGCTAGCACAACAACCCCAACTCCTGAGTTCGGTGCAGGAAGCAGGGGCAGATCAAACACTTAGGCCAGACTAACTGCTGCTGCAAAAATGCACCAGGGAGGGGGAGTAGAGGACACAGAGAGCAGACACCGTGCCAGTGATTCAGTTCTCGAAGCACAAGCAAAGACCTCAGGCATCCCACACATGAAAGGGGCCGGACCCAGTGTCTCACCCTCCCAGCACAGCCAGTGGCACTAAGGGAACACATGCTGCATCATTTTAAAGCCTAGATTATTTGCTGCTCCTGAAAATGCTACCTGCCTGCCTCAGCACTGGGCAGGCAGAATGCCACCTGGGCGGCGCACATCCCCCACCTGGAAACATGCGTGTGAGTGCAAATGCCATAATCTAGTCCTTCAACAGCTCGAAAGGCAGGGTGGTCCAATGGATGGGGCACCTGAGTGGGACTCAGGAGACCTGCATTCCATTCCTGGCTCTAACTGACTTGCTATGTAGTGCTGGGCAAGTCACTTCACTTCTCTGCTTCCTTTTCCCTCCCACCCTGTCACCGTCTTGCCTATTTAGGCTTTTAAGATCCTTGGGACATGGACTCACTCTCTCTGTACAATTGTACCTAGCACAATGGGGCCCCTGTCTTACTTGGGGCTCTAGATGCTACTGTAATATAAATAAAAAATGATGTGGAGGGGGGTTACTTCATGAGCAGGCGGGAGTTGTAGTCTACTTGAATGCATAACTGAAGCCTTTTAATACAAAGCAAATATACTATGAGACTGCATTGTTCACTCATAACCAGATAGGTTCAAAATATCAATTCTACATTTGAGGAATGTTATGCATAAGTAGTAATCAAGTTCTGGAGAAATATAACTAATGTGCTTCTCGTAATGCCAGTACTGATGCCCGCTCCCAGCTTCCTATTCATCACTGTACCAAAAGATGATTTTATATATATATATATATATATATATACACACACACACACACACACACACACACACACATACACGAGTGTGATACAAGAAA